CTATTACTTAGATCAGTATTTTGTCCTCAGAATTGGACTTTATAACTCACAATTGCAAGTTTATATCTCAATATTTTGAGAAAATAAGTCAAAAATGTGAGATATAAACTCTGAAAAAAAAAATCTGAATTGCAAGTATATCATGCAATTGAATTGTGAGTAAATCACGCAATTCTGAGAAAAGAAGTCACAATTACTTTTTTATTTTTTATTCAGTGGCAGAAGTGGGTTTCCATAGGTCTCCCATGTTCATATGGGTAGGAATAAAAGTCGATGGAGTGAAAAGTGTACTTTATGATTGGTTTACCCTATACACTGGTAGCATTTGCCTTCACTTTACCATATTTGACAATTGCTAAATACTCACACCTCCTATAAAAGACACAGTCTCAGGATGTGTAGTGAAATGACACGTTTTAAAATGGTTAGATGACCTCGGTATACTCCAGAGACATGTGACGTAACCACCAGATTAGGATGTAGATACATTTCTTGGAATGGATCTAAGCAAGGAGATAAGCGCATTCGACCAAACAGTCTGTATTTAGTGAAGCTTATAAAAGCATTTTCGGATAAGATCATTTTTATAGTACCAAAAAAAAAAAAGTTTCACTGTGCATATTTTTCATGATCTGCTTGACAAAGTGTTTACGCTATGTAAAGCATCAAGAACGGGCCATGTAATTGTGTGTGATACTCATTTACATGCCATTAGTGCTCTAATGCTACGTGTGTAATATTCATAATAGAGCAGTAAGCCTACAGTCGAGTGTGACATTTCCACACAGGCGCTATCATTTTCACTGGTGTGTGGAGAGGTAATTAAAAAGATGGTGTTGATTGACCTACTCAACTGTCCTTAGTTGTGTGGCTTAGTTAGCATGCAAAAACCGGCAGCTCTCATTGGGTCCTGAGGATCACATGACAAGACCGCAACCAAAACATGCAAGTCACGATTTGTAATTCTCAAGCTCCTGTCTTCAGGCAGCCTGCTTGATCTTATCCAGCCTGTCACACACTGTGGACTGTGACACAAGGCAAAGCCAGGTTATTCGACTGCCCCCCGCCTGCTGGAGTATACAGAGAAAGTCAATATGCTTCTCTTCATGAAAGGAAACATATCCACAGGCCCCTGTCCTTTTAAAAGTCACTCTATTCTGGGCCAGCCACCTATGGATGATTAATTAAGGTCACTGTACTGCCTCACAGCCCCGCCAAACACAGCAAGGGATTACAAGACGAAAAACCTGGTGTGATATTTTATACGGTGACAGTCTGTAGATCAGGAAGTCAATGGATAGTCTAACCTTCTAATTAGCTAAGCATCACTGCATATTAACCGACTATTATTTAGGGAACACAATCGTTTTAATAACAAGTTAATTTTTCAGAGCCACGGTGTTTACACCTTTCTGAAATCAGCCTTTGATTTGACTTACTTATAGTTGGAGAAAGTATCTATCATTAAAAAATTACACTTCACACTGTAAAACATGATTTTTGCGAAGTTGTAAATAGATTATTATCACTTATTTTCTGACTGTTATCATCCATAAGTTTTGTATTTCATAGTGCTTGATTCTACTTTGCTGTATGCTGCCGTCTATATATATATATATATATATATATATATATAAATGAAACTTATTATTATTAATAATATAGAAATAATAAACTTTATTTTGTATAGCGCCTTTAAAAATACCATCTCAACGCGTTATTAAAATTATTATTGGAGTATTTTTTACAAGAAAATATGGTAACACTTTAAATTTTTCCTGTACAAAAGTGTGTTTTCAGTGTGGATGGAAGACCAAATTGTAGAGGAAAAGATGCGTTTTAAATTATTAGTGCAGATGTAGCCTAAGTATCATTAACAAACAGTTATTTGTATTGATAAGATGAAGCCAGTGAAGGTGGCTTGAGCTGAAGTCAGTGAGTATGTTTACATGGACAACAATAATCCGATTTTAACACGATTAAGACAACACTCTGATTAAGAATCTACCATGTAAACAGAGATTTTTGATGACCTTAATCCGGCTAAAGTCATATTCGAAGTAAACAGAAATCGAATTAAGACATGTGGAGTATTCCTATTTTAGTCGCATTACTGAAGTGCAGTATAGAGTGCATGAGTGCTCATTGTTTCTTGTCTTTGTGATGAATGAGGTTATAAAAGCAACAAAGAGCTGATGTTAAAGATGTCATTTTACTCTGCAAGATTTGCATACACGCAATACACTCACCTGTGTTTTGCCTGACTACAACAAAGATCTATGAATTTTTCCTGTGCATTTCAAATCAGACTGACAATATAATTCAGTGTATAATTCAATTATATAAGTGTAGATGTACTAGTAATAAAGGATGTCTAAGTCACATTATTAAAAGGATAGTATGAATTCTGTATGCCGATTGGTAAATATACACTCTTAAAAATAAAGGTGCTTCACGATGCCATAGAAGAACCTTTTTGTCTAAATGGTTCCATAAAGAACCTTTAACATCTGAAGAACCTTTCTCTTTGACAAACGGTTCTTTGTGGCTAAAGAAGGTTCTTCAGATTATAAAAAGGTAAGAAAGAGATGGTTCTTTAAAGAACCTTTGACTGAATGGTTCTTTGAGGAACCAAAAATGGTTCTTCTATGGCATCGCTGTGAAGAACCTTTTAAGCACCTTTATTTTTAAGAGTACACTGAAAAAAGTACAACTTTAGAAAATAATTTTTGTAGTGATATCAGCTGCACTAAAATACAATCTGTATTTACAATGTATCAAAACCTATTTTTATGCCTTATTGCTTAAATCAAAATAACATTTGATAAATATTATATATTTAAATTTGAATCTTGATATTGGACCAAACTTTCGCACAGCTTTATCCACAAAAATGATTACTTGCGAAACACAACAGGGATCAAAATCAGGGGGGACTGATTGAGCTGTCTGCTGATTGTCACTGCCTCGGTCATTAATTATTCAGCACAATCTGCTCGTGCTGACAGACTGTCACCGGACAGAGCGGGACTTCAGAATATCCACAGCTCTGTTGGCCCAACATCCAAAGCTTGTTAAAAGAGCCCGTTTTTGTTGTTGAAGCCAAAGCTATCAGAACTATTTAATGCAATATACCAAAGCAAACTAAACTGCAGTTGGTTATGTAAACATTATTTAGTCTTACTCTGTAAAACAATTCCAGAAAGAGGCTGTGGTTCTGAGTAAAACTAAGTCTTTATAACATAACCACTAATCTAGATGATTTTACAGTAAGTACCTTCGAGAGTCATAACCTTCTGCAGTCAGCTCTAGTAGGCCGTGACCCTGCAAAGCATGAGCGATTTGTCTAGACAGTTTCAATGACGAAAAGTGAACACATCATCCATTAAGCAAGTATGCTATTCCCTACAGGCACAAAGATATCATGCTCTCATATATACAGTATATCATATAACACATATATATTATATGTATGCATACACACACACACACACATATAAATATAAATATATAGAGGGAGAGACACTTTGACCTGACTATGTTTTGCTTGGGTGTTTTTTCTTTAATTGCTAATGTGACCTTTTTACACCACAGACTGGACAAAATTAAGCATTGCTGCATGCTATGAAGCACTGCCAAGAGCATGCCAAACCAACAGGTGGCGATATAATCTCAACCGTAAAGCCATGTTGGCCAATCAGAAGCCTGAAAAAGTCTCCAGTAGGCGGAGATAACAGCGCAGGCGCCGACGTCACAAGCCAAAAACGTTGGTTTCGCTGTCTACACGATAACACTGCAAGCGGAGTTTTTGAAAATCTTTACCCTGGCAGGCGTTTTCAAAAATGTTCGGTTTCAGTGAACTGGTGCTGCGTTTGTGTGTGGACGAACGGCCTAACCGCGTAGAAAAAGCTGCGGTTTTAAAAATAACCGCGTTCGTGTGGACAGGGCCTAATTGTGTACTTAAATTTTACATCTGAATTACATTTTTGGTTGATTGTAATCCATTACATAGCTTTCTATCAAAGTTATCTGACATTATCAAGATGAATTTGTTCTGACACAGTTTAACTCTGAGTTATTGTCATATTTTATTACCGTTTTCTAAACTATAGGCGAATAAACTGTGATATAATGTGAGAAATGTCTTAATAAATTTTGGTTTGACTGTGTATGTATATTCGTTCAAAAATTCATATAAATATGTTAGTCAATTTGACAAGAACAAAACATGGCTTCTCATAAAAAGCTAACTTATTTAAGAAAACCTAACAATTTCGACACAGGGTCACAAAGGTTTACAGGGGTCATCTTTGATTCATGCTGGATTTTCTCAACACGTGACAACAAAATGGCTTCCTGCATTTTGGTTACGCCACACTGTCTTTTGGCGGACAGAAGTTTTTCAAATGTTAATATTTTAAAACAACATTGGTTTACTGCATAATTTAAAAGAAATAAAAGATTATCCCAATATTTTTAATGGTAGTTATTTTTAAACACATGTACATTCAGCCCCAGAATTGTCTAATATTTGAAACGAATTTTAGCAACACCTGATAGCATAGCACATGTTGTTTGAAGGCGACGATTTGTGACGCATCATCAGCTGTGACGTCATTCTTCTCTTCGAAGGTCAAATCAGTGAAAATAACATGTGGCAGACGCAGCGTAGAAACAACACAGATTACGTGTTATGTGTTCCGCGCCAAGCACCCATGGTCACTGTTTGTGTTGCCTTCTTTCAAAGAACTAAACCGAACCGTAACAGTTGTGTTACAGTTTAAAACCCTGCTTTAGTAAAAAAAAAAAAAAAACGCTCAGTGCGCTACACGACCAACTCTGACTTTCCAAATCCAAAAAAGAATAATCCCTTTTAAACTATACGACATGCAGCAACAACTTTTACTTCTACTTTATTCCTCGTTAAAAGGAAAAAAAACGTATACTCAAATAACAAAAGCACAGTCAGCGCGTAAAGAAATGAAAAGCGCGACTCTTACGTCTTCATCCTCGCAGGCGTTTCTCTTGCGGTACTGGACCGGGGGTCGGGATGAGGGGTGATGAGGACTCTTCCCAGCCTTATTCTCCTCCTCGGGAACCTGTCCACCCAGGAGATGACTGGCTTCAGGTGGATGGGGAAAAGATTTGTTGGTGCTAATCTTCCCAGTGAATCTCTGGTAAAGCGAAGCCATGAGTCCGGTGAAACCACTAAAGCATCTCAAAGCGCGGAATCTCTCCTCAGCTGCTCTTCTCGGATGTTCTTTATTTTAATGTCCCTCTCCCGCAGAAGGTAAACGCTCTCCTTCTTGAATAGCCCAGAGCCTGATGTCCTCCGAAGGAAGGCAGTAAGACGAAGCCTGTAATTGAAATGAATCTCTAATGCGCTCCGTTGGAGTAATTTCTCTGTTTTATGGCTTTGACTGGAGCCTGCGCGGCACCAGAGAAAGTCTGCTCTGCATTCAAAGCACGTTGTTTCCTCTATAGCCCGCCTGCAGAAAAGCGTCTCCACAGCAGCCTGTATTAAACTGCACTCTGTCACCGGATTTAACAAACAGAGCTTACATCTCACTGCATTTCAGGAATGAGGCGAGTGATGGAAAGACAGCAGTGTGAGCTTTACGCAGAGCAGTGTGTGTGTGTGTGTGTGTGTGTGTGGATGAGACGCGTTCTGCATGAGAAGTGACCACTGACAGGATATTTATCTGAAGAACACACACACACTCACACACCACGCACAGCAATCTCACATTCATTAAAATAAAGAGCAATTAAACCGACCGAAACTTAGACTATGTATCATCCCATCAACTGATGGATTTTTACAAATGTTTAGTATTAAGCAATAACCTTTCTCTTTTACTTCTAAACAATGCTGGAAAGGTCATATGCGCAGAGGGGTGATGAGGACTCTTCCCAGCCTTATTCTCCTCCTCGGGAACCTGTCCACCCAGGAGATGACTGGCTTCAGGTGGATGGGGAAAAGATTTGTTGGTGCTAATCTTCCCCGTGAATCTCTGGTAAAGCGAAGCCATGAGTCCGGTGAAACCACTAAAGCATCTCAAAGCGCGGAATCTCTCCTCAGCTGCTCTTCTCGGATGTTCTTTATTTTAATGTCCCTCTCCCGCAGAAGGTAAACGCTCTCCTTCTTGAATAGCCCAGAGCCTGATGTCCTCCGAAGGAAGGCAGTAAGACGAAGCCTGTAATTGAAATGAATCTCTAATGCGCTCCGTTGGAGTAATTTCTCTGTTTTATGGCTTTGACTGGAGCCTGCGCGGCACCAGAGAAAGTCTGCTCTGCATTCAAAGCACGTTGTTTCCTCTATAGCCCGCCTGCAGAAAAGCGTCTCCACAGCAGCCTGTATTAAACTGCACTCTGTCACCGGATTTAACAAACAGAGCTTACATCTCACTGCATTTCAGGAATGAGGCGAGTGATGGAAAGACAGCAGTGTGAGCTTTACGCAGAGCAGTGTGTGTGTGTGTGTGTGTGTGTGTGTGTGTGTGGATGAGACGCGTTCTGCATGAGAAGTGACCACTGACAGGATATTTATCTGAAGAACACACACACACTCACACACCACGCACAGCAATCTCACATTCATTAAAATAAAGAGCAATTAAACCGACCGAAACTTAGACTATGTATCATCCCATCAACTGATGGATTTTTACAAATGTTTAGTATTAAGCAATAACCTTTCTCTTTTACTTCTAAACAATGCTGGAAAGGTCATATGCGCAGTACTGGAGTGCCACACTGTGGTAAAATGAAATACAACAGCTCAGACTGCGATAATGTCATCCATTAAACTACCAAAAAGAAGCTATTTTAATTACACAAAATCGATTGAAAATGGCGCAATTGTTTGGGAATTTAATATTTATGATCCCTAGGCGTTTAGCACCCTGACTGCAACAACACACGAACATCAACTTAACTGTTAATGTGAGGCTAATTTCCTGCCAAATATGCTCGATATAGTTGTAGCACAATTAACGTTCTAGTAACGTTCTGTTAAAGTAGTTATTTAAACAAATGAATAGCTATACTAGACTAGCTACTCTTAATGAAAAAAAAAAGAAGAACCTTGAAATCTGAGAGGTTTATTTCCAACACACTTTCAGTTTAAGCAATTAATCTGTCAGTTAAGGCATTTCCTACAAGCCACAAATTGTGTCAGTCCTGAGATTTACGATATTAATATTTGGGTCATTCTTCTTATGCTGTAGCCTACCTCTTGAGCTCGGTAACTTACATTAATAAAGCTGTGTTGTAATTTGACTGTGTTGGGAAGCATTTCTATAAAAAGGATGGAAATTAAGAGTTAAAGTTAGCCACTGCAGGGTGTGATTGACAGTTACAGTAGCATACATGAAGGTGTCAAGTGATTTTGGTATTTTTAACCAACATTTTTAATCATTGCAAAGTCTGTAATGAGTTATATGTTGAACGTCACCTGACCAAAGCGGAAAACAGGTCTCATTGCATCCGCTTGTTGGAGAAAGTGTTAACAGCAGTATGAACTGATATATATGGACTTTTAAGGTAATCAGCTAACCGAGTTGATGTTATTGTTGGCTTTTATTCAGTTGTAATATCCGAATGTTAGTGAGAAGAAGAAAAATGAATTCCTGCATGACGCTACTTAAGTGATATAATCCATAAATCACACAATAAACACAAACGAATGGTTTTTGGTTAGAACAATTTAAACACACAAATATATATAAAACGAGCCCATTTACCTGATCAAAACGATCTCAAATACATTCTCCAGCTCTTGTTAATATGCTCCAGACTGTATCCCAAATATCTCTAGAAAGCACAGGAAATTAAGTAGTGTGCAAGAATCAATTAATTTCCCTTTTACTGGGTGCAATTTCCATTTTCCTGCAGCGCAGGCAGTCAGCTGAAGAGTGCTTACTCAAAACAGAGGTGCTGGAGGCTGAATAACTTATGGCCTGCATTATTCATGCATTCGGTGCTACAAGGTGTTCAGGTTTAATTGACCTAATGGGCAAAAATAGAGAAGCCTCTATCATGGATAACCCTTAATCATAGTTTATAGATGATAAACTCGTAAACCTGACCTCAAGGGATGTTGCTTGACGATGCAGTGTCTGCATTATCCAGACTCTTCAAACGACCACATTTACCCAGAAGCCATGTTGAAGTAAATAGGGCTGTATGCAAAGTCCAGCGGTCTTTCCTGTGAAGTGTTAGACCCTTTTCTGATCTTTGTTGAGGTGAATGCACATGAATGTTACATTTCCATCATATCTCAGCCAAAAAGGTGCTAAGATCAAGTTGTTAGTGTAATAATATAATGCACCACAATACTTGACATGGTGGAAACTCACAATGTTGTGGCTGCACTTTCAATCTTATTTCATCACTTTCATCTTTGAGAAATCACAGGGTTAGTTCGCACCACTCACAGCTATTATACTGGACTCAATAAAGCTCCAAACAGCAGTGAAAAATAGTGAACAAAACCTACAATAATGTACAGTATTTGAAAAATAATGTGTTTTTTGAACATTAAAGCATGTCAACATATTCTGTTACACCAAATACACAAAATAATGATCTTTAAAAAAGCATCATATGACCCCTTTAATGTTTGATCATATTATTTTACATATGCAATCACTTGTTTCTGCTGCTTCTTCACAGTTTTTGAGCCGGATTCAGTACTCTTTTAGAAGATGTACAATAGCGCCTCCTTCCATATAACAGTGAAAACACAGAAAGCCAGAAAATGCCAATGTCAATGGTGGGGAAAGAGATCAAGTACTTCAAATCTCAGAGAATTTTTATGGCACAAAGCTTATATTTGATCAGTGTGTCAAAAACATGGCTATGTTAACTTAACATCAGAATCATTTGATGTTTTCTCTGAATTTTGTTTTGCTTTATAAATGGTATGTTGAATACCAATGAAAAAGAAAAAAGTAAAGAAAATGAATTTTTGAGAAGTCTTGGAAAGTGAGAAGTTTTGAATGCCCAGTACAATAATAATGGCCCACTGACAGTTTCTCTAAAATACACAAGTGTTTAGGAAGGACAACCGTAAAGGATTGCTCAGGTGTAAACTGCTTGATATTTGATGAGTTTGTTGTTTGTGAATTTATCTTTGAGCTGTCAACTGTGTTTAAAAGAGCATCTCTCGTTGTGAAGAGTTCAGCAGACCTCAGCCACTGAAGATCAATAGAGTAATCTGTCAGGACACTCCACAAATACTCTGAGCAATACCAGCCTGGCTTAGGATGACAGAGAAACATCACTTCAAGGTTTAGGGCTATATCTCAATTTGCTGCCTCATTGATTGTAATGGACAAGTGCTGAATAACCAGAGAAGTCAATTTAAATGTAAAAAAATAACAAAGGCAGCTGAAGGAATGTTTTCGATAAGGTGGGATTCATCTCACTGTTTGTCAGTGTCTTTAATAATGCACATATTTAAGGATATACTCATTTATATCAATTTCACGTTCTTCACCTTCTCATGGTGGCTCAGTGGGTAGTAATATTGTCTCACAGCAAGACGATCCCTGGTTTGAGTCCTTCTTTCTGTATTGAGTTTGCATGTCCAACCTGTGTTGGCAATTGTTGTCTCAATACTGAAATTTCTAACTTCAGTATGATACCTTGAAAAATATTGCTATTTGATACCATTTTTGATAAAGGCATCCAGCTATCGCTATAACTGAAGAAAAAGGCGATAGAAACATTTTAACTGATCAAAACTGAAGACACACCACTGTGACAATATATGGATTATCTGTGTTCTTCAAACTATTTCTTAAAGTCCTCATGAAATCAAAATGTACTTTATTTACTTTATTAGCACACATTGCTAGTCTTGATGTGAACAATTGACCTATCGGTAAGCCCCTCCCCTCGAACGCAGATGAGCCAATGGCAGTCGAGTATCAGTTGCACGGGGAGCAGAACTCGGACATCTTTAGTTTTCAGCGCCATAGAGAAACATTGGAAGATCCAAAGCTCGCATCGCATTTTGATGGTGTTTATGCTACAAAAATGGAAAAACGATGTGCCTGGGGTACTTGTTACACTGATTCCAGGTATCCTGAGAGGATAGGCAATAGAATTTATTTTATTACATTTCCTAAACCCAAACAAAACAGAGCAAAATGTCCCTAAGCATTCAACCCCAATCCCAATGAAGACAAAAATGTTCATTTTCTTGTTGTCATACTCTCATTAAGTTACAATTTGCATCTGCTCAAGCAGAATCTTAACGTCATCTTGCATTTCAGCAAGGTAACTTATCTCTAGCTAAAACTAACGTTAAAGTTAGTGCGTCCATGCTACCGTACAAACCTAAATAGAGGACTGTTCTCACGTCATGTAAGTTACAGCGTATAGGTCAAAAACACATAAACGAAGGTCTACATTTCAGTGCCTCTCCATATTAAACTGGTTAAATGTACATTAATTAAATCGTACCCTGCGATACATGAACAGTGTTGATGTTGATCCTGCATGTTGTCATCCGCGATCGTGATGAACGTAACATGAGGCTTCTCTCGCTTGCATTGTTATTTGTAAACCCTCGCTTCGAGTTACCCACCGTATTTATTTTAAAATATTAATATATCCCTAAATGGAAT